AATCTCTACACAATGCAACTCCTTGTTCCTTTCGAAATGGCTTTACGCTGTCACTGATGTTTTCACACAACTCGAGATGGCTTCAAAGACGCAAGGTGTTTAGTATGGTCTGATGAGAATAAAATTACTTGTTTCATTGTCTAACGGACTTCATACTTGCAAATAATAAAAGATACTGCGATGCCTGTAATTTGAGAAGTCAAAATGGAAATTGACATCCCCGTTCGGCCTCAGTACACAATGCTGTGACGGTGAAAATCTTCGTCGATTCGGAATTCCCTTGGAAGTGGATCAATCGAGGAGGACTGAATAGCCCCCAAGATCACTATAGCTGCTTAATCCATATTTATTTTTGTGGGGATATCTGAAGCGAATGGTTTGTTGATCAAAACAATTGAGGAGCTGAAATCGAACAATGCCAAACTACGTCTTATTCTAGTTTCCTGAAGATGGAACGAAACTGCCTTCGTCACATTTTCCATGTGGAAACAAAATGATAAGAAACAACTATAGAATAAATATGGATTAGCTTCCTATTGGTATGTCTCTTGCCTATTTATTAAGAGCGACAATTGGTCGACCAGAGACGGTTGGGCAAATAGGAGGAATAATGCTGCCAAGTCCTTAGCTTACACGGACGGGTATTGGCGTCGGTAATCTGTTGTTGTGATTCTCTGATGACGTTTGAACGGCCTCATGTCAGATTGGTAAATTAGGAGTTGCAAAATAAGCATGAAACTATCCCGGCAGATTGCAAAACGAATAATAGGTAAATTCAGCGATAAGACAAGGGAGACATTGAAAAGATGAAACGAGACAGACGGGTAGTCGTACTGAGTTATTACGCCAACGACACATTTCGTCATTTATGCCAATGATGCAAAACAATAATTCGGCTGGGTACCCAAAAAGGTGTTGACAGAGTGAGAAACCATTGTGTAAGCTGACAGGTGGGTCTCAGACAGTGTAGTGGAGGCACGGGCAGAGCCATTTGGAATTGAGTGTGAAACGTGTGCATTGAGAGCGTCAGTGAGTGGCCAAGGATTGTGCGGCGTTTTGAGACGACGATAGTGGTACAAGAACACGGCCGCGTTGCCCGGAGTCAACCTCCTTCCTGTGTTTAGAGTGGATTCCGTGTTGGGGTCGTTCTTGCATACAATAGTGCCAGAAAAACGTTAATTTCTTGAGTTTAACCATCAGTTTTTACTCTCAATTGAGGAAAACCAACGAAGTAGCAGTCATTTAGTGAAAAAAAATGAGTACAAAAAGGTAGTACTAAACTACAGGAATCTTGGTTACACAAGGAAATTCCCAATATAGATGGTTTCAATTCGTATCGGGCAGATAGTCTCCCGTGTTCGTAATCAATGAGGTAGTCAGTTATGCACACAACTATTGGAACCAATACTCGATGGATAAAACCAATCGCACGTCCTTAACTGTAAGCTGCATTTTCGCGTGAATGTGGATTTATTTTTTTCCAAAACATTTATGTGACATCTGCAGTGAAGACATTTTCTGTCCTGCTGACCTCCATGATTGCACGAATAAGCAACTCCTAGTGAATATATGTTGACAATTTTAATCGACATGATCTAACCTTCCTCATTACACCTGGTTTTCATAAACTGATATACTCTCCTCTCAGACTTAGCGCACAAATAGATTGCTTTTACAAAAA